AGGCCTTAAGCAAGTCAATTCCCTTCTCAAGGCCTCTGAGTTCCAAAATGGTGGCAACCACAGAACCTATCCAGGAGGCTTGTTCTGAGGATTAGGATTAATCCTTGAAAGTTAATTGAGCATTTCGTTTAATCCAAAAGCACATCAAGCTTTCTGCCCAGTGCAGGAGACATTTGCAATCCTGGATCAATGTTAACTATCCTTGACATCTAGCATGGGGAGAGGAGGAGGAGAGGAGCCACATTTGGTTATAGAGCCCCATTTTCTTCCTCACCCCCTACCAGCAGTGGGAACTGTGGAGAGAAGGAGACAGTAGCATCTGTCAGTGCTAAAAAAGATCCAGGCCGGGCGCGGTGGCTCACACCTGTAACTCCAGCACTTTGGGTGGCCGAGGCAGGTGAATCACCTGAGGTCGGGAGGTCAAGACCAGCCTGACCAACATGGAGAAACTCCATCTCTACTAAAAATACAAAATTAGCAGGGTGTGGTGGTGCATGCCTGTAATCGCAGCTACTCGGGAGGCTGAAGCAGGAGAATCGCTTGAACTGGGAGGCGGAGGTTGCAGTGAGCTGAGATCCCACCATTGCTCTCCAGCCTGGGCAACAAGAATGAAACTCCGTCTCAAAAATAAATAAATAAATAAATAATAAAAAAAAAAACCCATCCACTTTTGCACTTGGCCCATGAGTCAGCCCAGTTTGTTTGTCTGTCACCCACAGCCATTGTCAGGCCCCTGCTAGGGCTCTGGGCCGCAGAAGACACAGGCATGCCTTGCTTCAGCTCCCATCCCCTAAGGAACCGGCAGTCGGGTGGGGGTCTGTGTTAGTCTGTTCTCACACTGCTTTAAAGAACTGCCTGAGACTGGGTAATTCATACAGAAAATTTACAGCTTTAGTTGATTCAGTTCCACATGGCTGGGGAGGCCTCAGGAAACTTGCAATCATGGCAGAAGGGGAAGCAAGGACCTTCTTTGCATGATGGCAGGAGAGAGAAGAGAGTGAGCAGGAGCAGGGAAAACTCTTATAAAACCATCAGATCTCATGAGAACTCATTCACTATCACAAGAACAGCGTGGGGGAAACTGCCCCCATGATCCTAACACCTCTCACCTGGTCCCTCCCTCCACATGTGGGGATTACGGGAATTACAATTCAAGATAAGATTTGGGTAGGGACACAGATCCAAACCGTATTCGGGTCAGAGGTAAGAAGGACGCCTGGACATCTACCACGTAGTGTATGTGGCAAGTGTCACATGAGTGCCTGAAACAAAATGCTGCAGGATGCCAGGCGGGAGATGAAACACGAATCCTTCTCAGAGTTCCTGGCATTAGCGTTTGGAGTTAAAGGCTGGGCAGAAGGATTTCCACAGGCGGAGATAGTAGAGACTGGGAAAGAACTAGTTTATGATAAAGAGAATGGGCTGGCATCAGGCTGCCAAGTTGGCAGTCCACCTCTGCAACTTCTTAGCTGAGTACTGCTGGGCAAGTTTTGTAAGCTCTTTGAGCCTCAGCTTCCTCATTTGTAAAATGGGGATCATCACAGCACATATGTCACAGAATTGTTGGAGAATTTAAAAAGGTAAACTAAGTGATAGGTAAGGGCCTGGCACATAGTAGGTGCTCCATAAATGTGAGCCTTCATCAACATCACTCATCAAAAAGTATTTTTGTGACGCTACACCAGGGACCCTGGGTACATCGTTGCCCTTCTTAGGATGGTGTGGGTAGCAAGAGGGACAAAGTTGCCGTCAGAATCAGCCCTTGTGGGCCCCCAGCCTGTGCTTAGGCCTCGAGCGACACCCCTACTCAGAGGCGGTGCCAGCTCCTCCGCAGCCCGCCCACCTGACACCCTGCCCAGCTGAGATTCTCCTAGATCTGACAGCCAAGGCAGGTTCCTGAGATTAACCAGGTTTCACCTGAACACAAGTTCTAACTTTGATTCTACATAGTGATTTCCAGACTTGGATGTGCCAATACAGCCTCCAGCATTTGAGCCCGAGGTGGTGCCCTGTGTCTCCTGAGCAACCTTCCCCCTGCAGAGCCATCGAAGGGAGGGGAGAGCTGAATAGTGTGGCCATCCCTTTTGAGCCTTTTGTGATTTGTCTCATATTTAATCCCACTCAGCTAGATTTTCAGAGATGGGGGCTCTGACCCTGTATTATCAGTGGAGTGACCTTCCACACACTTCTTAAATTTCTTGAAATTCAATTTCCTCATCTGGGAAGTGGGAACAATGATAGTGCAAATCTAAAGAGTAGGTGTGAAGATTAAATGTGACGATTGAGAATTAAATGTGCGGCACAGTGCCGGTCACATGGAAGCCCTCAGTAAGGCTAGAGGTCCGTATGACTGTGAGGCTGTTCACTCAGCATCTGTTGCCCTGGTCTCCACCATCAACAAGTGGACCTAAACTCCTGCACAGAGCAAGCAGCCACATTGAACCATAAAACAAACAACTATCCTTTAATTAGCTAGTTACAAGGTTTTTTTTTGTTTTTTGTTTTTTGGTTTTTTTTGAGACAGGGCCTCACTCTGTCACCCGCGCTGGAGTGCAGTGGCGCAATCTCGACTCACTGCAACCTCCACCTCCTGGGTTCAAGCAATTCTCATGCTTCAGCCTCCTGAGTAGTTGCGATTACAGGCGCCCACCACCACGCCCAGCTCATTTTTTGGTATTTGTAGTACAGACAGGGTTTCACCATGTTGCCAGGGTTGTCTTGAACCCCTGACCTCAGGTGATCTGCCTGCCTCGGCCTCCCAAAGTGCTGGGATTCGAGGCATGAGCCACCATGCCTGGCCTAGTTACAAGTATTCTAACGGGAATATTTTCAGCCATTCTGATCTTGCAGTTAAACTGGCCTGAACTGTGAATGATGTTAATTACCTTCTAATTGCTCCCTGTCTTGAGATTCAGGAGTCTTGGGGGGGACACCTGTAGGATCTCCTGAAAGAAGAGTCCAGAATCCCCTTCTAAGCCCACATAACCAGGGCTGCCTTCGTTGCCTGCCATGCCTCTGCTTCACTGCCAGCGCTGCTCATTAATACAAAATATTAGAGGTCCCAGCAGCTCCACTTGGTAGGAATTTATTCTACCGATATGCTCACCTAGGTGTGCAAGGATATGCATGAGGAGGCTCATTCCCCCAGTTGCCACCTCTCAACAGGGGACATAAATATAAAATGGTCATTTTCCACAAACATCACCAGCAGTGCTCTGAGCAGCTCTTCTGTCTTGCTGGGGCAGGGGCACCTTTAATGACACCTGTGTCTGATTTACAGAGCTTTCCAGTCACTTTTTGGTTATTTACAATGTCAGTCTCACAGTCAGTTCAAAGCTTCCCCTGCCCGAGGCATAGGATGTGAGTTTGTGGTGCTGGAGCTGGGAGGAAGACAGAGAAGGAGGATGGGCTGCCCTGCCAGTGGTCTGGTCTCCCACAAAGACAAGGAACTTGCATGATTACCCATATGAAGTGGTTGCCCCCTCTGTTGGTCATTGCCTCTGATTTCCCTATGTCTGGTGGTGGTGCCAACAGGCCTTGCTGTTGAGGGGATCATTCCCAAGCAGCACCCACTCCAACCCATGGGCGGGCCCTTCCCACACCCGCTCCCACCAGGTATGGGAAGACCCTTCCCACACACTCAGCTTCATTTTCAGGTTGGCTCCTGACAGCAGCTGCTCCAGCAAATGAGCAGCCTCTGATCACTACATCCTTCCTTACCCCTTGACTCTGGGGTCTGTAGGCAAGACTAGGATCCATTTTCTCCTGCTCCTGCAAAAGGAAAGGAACCTAGGGTGGGGTCCAGCGCTCCCTTCTGCCTGGTCTGCCACCCTGGTATACCATCTCCCACTCAACACCTGTAGGGGAGTGATATGGTTTGACTGTGTCCCCACTCAAATCTCATCTGGAATTGTAGTTCCCATAATCCCCATATGTCACGGGAGGAACCCGGTGGGAGGTAATTGAATCATGGGGATGGTTTCCCCCAAGCTGCTCTCGTGATAGTAAGTTCGCACAAAATCTGATGGTTTTATAAGGGTCTTCCCTCTTCGCTTGGTTCTCATTCTTCTCCTTCCTGCCGCCATGTGGAAAAGGACAAAATTGCTTCCCCTTCTGCCATGATTGTAAGTTTCCTGAGGCCTCCCCAGCCCCGCAGAACTATTAGTCAATTAAACGTCTTTCCTTTATAAATTATCCAGTCTTGGGTATGTCCTTATAGCAGCATGAGAACGGACTAATATAGGGAGAGAGGGGAAGAGTATGCATACTGCTACTTCAGATGCTACCTCCCCAAACAAGGCCAAAGAAACAAAATACTCCTCAATAGGGGCTGGATAAATTGCAACCACCATTTATAGAAGATAACAAGAATAAGGTGCCTTCTCTGTGCAGATGTGGCCCGAGCACCATGATATATTGCTAGGTGAAAAAGGAGCAAGGCCCAGAGTGTGGTGTGTGGTGTGGGCCCATCTGTGTACCAGCAGAAGAGCAGATGCCTGCAATCCCACAGCCAGGAATATTGTGTGTGGTGGTGGTGCATTTCCAGAAGGCCATATGGGAAAGTACTTACGTTGGTCACCTCTCAGGGTGGAAATGGAGGGCACAGAAGGCCGGAGACCTGATGTTCTTCATTTGCTCCCCATCAGTATAGCATTGTTTGAGTTTGTACCCTGAGCACATTTTGCTTGCAAACAATTAAAGAGTCACCTCTTTTAAAAAAATAACAGGGAGGATGTCCCTCTTCTAGACCACCCAATTCAGGCTTTTCACTTCCCCTCATAACTCTGTTTACGAGGTAGGTGATTTTCTGCTTTATTTCTCAGGAGTCCGGCCAGGGGTCCCATTTCTCCCGCACATTCTAAGCTTGGGCATGCAAAGTCCCAGAGGCACACAGCCTCAGTGCCTTGGGGATAGCAGATTCCACCTCCTGGGCCCCTAACTCAAAACCCCCAACAACCCTCAGTCACCTGTGGCTCCAGTCCTGTTTTGGTTTTCCACAGATCACAAAGGCATCAAGGAAGAGGCTCACAGTAAGCCTGGCCTACTCGGAGAGCCACCAGATCCGCGTGTCCCAGCAGGACTTCCGGCTGTTCCGCACCCTCTTCCTGCTCATGGTCTCCTTCTTCATCATGTGGAGCCCCATCATCATCACCATCCTCCTCATCCTGATCCAGAACTTCCAGCAAGACCTGGTCATCTGGCCGTCCCTCTTCTTCTGGGTGGTGGCCTTCACATTTGCTAATTCAGCCCTAAACCCCATCCTCTACAACATGACACTGTGCAGGAATGAGTGGAAGAAAATTTTTTGCTGCTTCTGGTTCCCAGAAAAGGGAGCCATTTTAACAGACACCTCTGTCAAAAGAAATGACTTGTCAGTTATTTCTGGCTAATTAGTTTTTCTTTATAGGCAGAGTTTCTCACACCTGGTGAGCTGTGGCATGCTTTTAAACAGAGTTCGTTTCCAGTACCCTCCATCAGCGTACCCTGCTTTAAGAAAATGAACCTATGCAAATACACATCCACAGCATGGGCAAATCAAGGGGTGATCATCCAGTTTTGCAATATTTTCCCTTTATAAAAGGATCTGTTGGCCAGGTGTGATGGTTCATGCCTGTAATCCCAGCACTTTGGGAGACCGAGATGGGTGGATCACATGAGGTCAGGAGTTCGAGACCAACCTGACCAACATGTTGAGACCCCCCCATCTCTACTAAAAATAAAAAAAAAAATTAGCTGGGAGTGGTGGTGGGCACCTGTAATCCCAGCTACTTGGGAGGCTGAACCAGGAGAATCGCTTGAACCTGGCAGGCAGAGGTTGCAGTGAGCCGAGATCATGCCACTGCACTCCAACCAGGGCAACAAGAGCGAAACTCCATCGTTTAAAAAAAAAAAAAAAAGGATTTGTTATGGGTTCCTTTTAAATGTGAACTTTTTTAGTGTGTTTGTAATATGATTGAATTTAATAAATATTTATTTATGACTGTTCAGCAATCACATCTCCTACATATAAAGCCACACCATAGTGGTTTCTGAAGTGAGTCTTAGAACCGATTCAGGATGCAGATTTCTCCTCTGAAGGGTCACAGCCACCCTGTGCCCTACCTGGGACTCACAAGACTTTAGGATCATTCACTGATGTCAAGAGCAATTGAAGAATTTCCAAGGAACAGTTAAGGGTGACTTACTTTTTTTTTTTTTTTTTTCATTTATAAAAAATGCCATGGGCCCTTTTAAGAGAATCAGTGTCACAAAATCAGAGAGAAAGCAGGATGACTCTGAAATGTTTGCGAGTGAGTTCACGGAGTGGTTTACTCCTGATCCATCCAGCAGAGATGCCGCTTAAGCACCAGCCATGGCAGACAGTGTTCTTTGTGCTGGGAATTCAGTGGTGAACCAGACAGCCATGGCCCTCTCTCAGGGAGCTTACCTTCAAGTCAGGGATAGAAAAACTAAATAAAAGTCAATGAATTATATCTATATACAGATATATAGATATATTTGAGATGAGGGTCTTGCTCCAAGGCCCAGGCTGGAGCGCAATGGCACAATCACGGCTCCCTGAAACCTCAAATGCCTTGGCTCAAGCAGTCCTCCCGCCTCAGCCTCCCAAGTAGCTGGGATTACAGGCATGAGCCACCATGCCTGGCTACAAATCAATAAATAGCATAGCATCACACAGTGAATAAGCACTGTGAAGAAAATGGGGCGGGGGCTATGGTAGTGATGGGAACTTAGATCAGGTGGGGAGGGGCCTAAGAAGACCTTTCTGAGGAGTGACATTTGGATCAAAAGGTAAGCGACAAGAAAGGGCCACCTGTGTGAATAGGGGGAAGGGACACAGAAGAGATGTTAGTGCAAGGAGGCTGACATGCTTGTAGGGAGAGTGGTGTAAACCGACTATTGATGGAGCCTCATCTGCACTAGGCACTGCCTTTAATGCTGAGATGAGGGGTACCCAGCTGGGGCCTGTCAGATGAGGCCAGAGAAATTGCAGAGCTAGATCACATACAGCCTAGGAGTTTATTCTGTGCTCCAAGCCCCTGGAGGTTTGCAACTGGAGACTGATGTGACCTGATGAATGTGTGCAAAGATTACCCTGGCTGCCGTGCAGGGAATAGACTCTGAGGAGCATGAGTGAAAATAGAGACCAGTCGGGCAGCTGCTGAAGTGGAACAAGGGGATGGGACCTTGGAGGTGAGTGGCATTAGGGAGGGATTGTGAGAAATGACTTGTAAATATACTTTGGGAAGGTAAAACAAAGAGGATTTATTGATGGAAAGGATGGAATTGATAGAATGTGAGGGAAAGAGAGCGTTCAATGGGAATACCCTGACTTTTTAGCCTATCATGAGTTGAATGGTGAAGCAGGCAACAAAAATGGGGGAGCCTGGGCAAAGATTAGGGGTGGGGGAGCCAAGAGTTTCATTTGGAGCTCATAAGTTTGAAATCCTAGTGAGACTTCCAAATTGAATAGGCAGTTGGATGCAGAAATGTGGAGCTTGGGCCTGGAGATGCACATTGTTTGGAGTTGTAAATGGTGTTTATAGGCCTATGGTTTTATAAAACCTCCCTTGGAGAGATAAAGAAAACCAGAGTCAAAAATTGAACCCAGGGACACTCCACCACTTGGAGGTTGGGCCAGTGGCTGGAATGCACAGCAGCACAGGGCCTGGCATATAGCAGGTGTTCAGCCAACCTTTGCTGCTGGTGAGGAAATCAGTACCAGCAGTAGTGACTGCTTATGCAGTCTCTGGAGCAACTTGCTTCTGAAGTCAGATTCATGGAAATCACAAGCTCGAGGACAAATGAACAGAGATGTTTTGCTCACTTTAGTTAATAGATTTGATCAATTAAACCTGTTTTTGGAAGTGATGTGTGGTTATCTTATTGAAGCGGCATCGCTGTCTGGGGTAAATAACAGGGATTTGTCATCTTGTGCCAAGAGGATTAAGGACATGGACATAGGTGGGTGGGTTAAGGAGCAGAATGTTTAATAGGCAGAAGAAAGGAGAGAGGAAGAGCAGCTCTCTCTCTCTCATGAGACAGAAGCATCTGAAAAAGGAAAAGTGGTGGACCACAGCATGTTTTATAGGCTGGCTTGAGGAGGTGGTGTCTGATTTACATAGGGCTCACAGATTGGTTTGACCAGGTGTGATGTTTACATAGTGCAGGAGAAAGGCTGGCCACCCCACCCAAATCTGATTATGCAAATGGACTTTCCACTTGGCCATCTTGTCTGCTCCTTACTGCACTCGTGGCTGGCAAAAAGGGAAGATGGAACCGCCATTTTGAACATGCTTAGTCGTAGGTAGTACATTCCAATGGACACATCTGCTGGCATTCACCCATGCAAGCTTCCAACTTGCTTGTCTACGTGTGCAGCACGATTTTACAGGCCGCTCTTTGTTACAAAAGGATTTAGGGGCTGCTTTTCATTAAAAGGAAAATCTTACCAAGGACTTCCATACCCTTGCTATCTGCCTAAGTAATTTCTTTTTAACTCCTATATCATTATGGTTCTCTGAGGTTGTCAAACTGAAGCTGCGGAGCAAGGCTCTGACAGCCTTGACAGCCTGTGGTTCCGTGAGAGAGGAAAGCAAAGCTCTCCCATGCACATCGCCTGTCTCCTCTGTCTTTGGTGGAGAACACTAGCATGGGGCACCCAGGAGCCTCTCACGGTCCCTGGATATCTCAACACCCCGGTGGAGATCTGTGACCCTTTCCTCACTCCCAGTGCATTTCATAGACGTCAGCCTGGCATCACCGGTTTCACAGCTCCCCAGAGCTCTAACAGACATTGCCTAATTGAATCCTCACTGCAGCCCATCAGGCAAGGACTATTTTCCCTTATCTCCCAAGAAAAGAGTGAGGCTCAGAGAAGCCTTGTAACCAGCCCCAAATCCACAGCTAATACGTATCTGAACCAGACGTGCACTTAAACCAAGACCCTCTGGTACCAAAGCCTTGCTGCTGTTTTCAACATGGGAAATGGAGGCCCTGGGAACACCTGAAAAACTGAAGTGAGTGGCCTTGCACCCATACACTAAGGCTCCCACGTGCTGCTAAGGATGCAGGATGTTGGTGTTCTGTCCCAGCCCCTGCTACTTATCCCCACCCAGCCCCTCCCTGCACTCCAGGTAGGGGGTGCTCTGATCTTTCCTACAGAACGAGATTCCAGAGCCCCATCTTCCAATTTCCCCAGAGGCCTCCGTCCTCCCCCTCAACATTTTGCCTACACCTGAAAGAGGTGAGTTGCGTGCTAGAGACAATAAAGGGCTAAGGAGTGTTTCCTAGAGCTCACCTTGCCCCCTGTGGCTCAGCCTCTCAAATCCAGCATTGGTGAGCTGCCAGCCCGCCCACCTCATAGGCCTAGGGCTGACTGAGGCCTTGGGCTCACTGGCCTGACCTATCTACTCACTTCCTCTTTTGGCACCAGTGCTTTAGCCAGGCTGGTAGGTAAGACTTTCCTAAGTGACAGAGGAAACCTCCTTTTCAGGAAGTTAGGAGAAGCCAGTATTTAATAATGGAGATTAGGCGCTAGAACAGGCCAAAGGTCAGAAAGAGCCGCGTGCTCCTGGTATAAAGAAGCGCACCCCACCCGTCCATCTGCAGCACAGACACAAACACAAATGAAAACTCAAATCACAGGACACGGGTGACTATATTTTAATGAATCAGAGTCTGGAATCTTAAGCCTCAGAAACTTTCAGGAAAGACATTTACCTGCAAGCAGATTCACTGACCCCCACGTGTATCCTTATGTGTAATGAAGGTTTTATGGGAAATGAGGGAAGATGGGGAGAGAAGGGCAAATTAAACTCCTAAGATAAATAGAGTTGAAGACTGAGAAATAATCAGAAGTTCTCAGATGAAACTAGATTATTGATCTTGCTACAAAAGGTTTCTTTCTGATCTGCCATCACAGTAACCTGGAAAATACAAAACAAAGCCATTAACGACAGAAAGTGGACCCAGTTTTTATGTAGATAATGAACATCATGATGGCCTTGGAGTTGGCTTCATTCAAATGTCTCTTAATTGAAATGCATCACAGCAGATCGCAACCCTTAAGGTTACAGTTGGCTGTAATTCATCAACACCTTCAAGGCTGTTTCTGAAACCCACTGAATTTCTCTGGACATAAAGGGGGTGGGGAGAATAAGACCTGCTGATGAACAGGGCTTCCTTTGATTTCTCTTTTAAGTCTGCCTTATTGCATTTCAAAGTGTCAGGGGCCATCCTCAGCTTTCAGGAAGTGGGGGCCAAGGCAGCCTGACCTGGGACACACTGGTGATGGTTTTATAAAGTGTTTCCATGTCTCATGTCATGTGTCACCAGATGGTGTGGTACAAGAGACTTCAGAGTCACAAAACTCTAGGTATGCATCCAACTCAGCTGCCTATTAAAGATTTAGGGCAACTTTCTTCATCATTGTCAGCCTCTGTTTTCTCATCTGTACAGTGAGCATAATCTGCTTCCTAAGGTGCCCTGCCGTGGTGGAATCCTCGCCGGCCCTACATTTCATTTTCAAGGGTGAAGCTTCAAAATCAGTTTGATTTTGGTCTGAGTTCCCATCTGTTTGGTGTAGTGGGTCAGTTCGTGACCAACAGAAATGCTCCATTTTGTTAAATTTATTATTATTATTATTTTGAGGCAGAATCTTGCTCTGTTGTCCAGGCTGGAGTGCAGTGGCAGGATCTCAACTCACCGCAGCCTCCGCCTCCTGGGTTCAAGTAATTCTCCTGCCTCAGCTTCCCGAGTAGCTGGGATTACAGGTGCATGCCACCGCGCCTGGCTAATTTTTGTATTTTTAGTAGAAATGGGGTTTTGCCATGCTGGGTTTTGCCAGGCTGGTTTTGAACTCCTGACCTCATGTGATCTGCCTGCCTCGGCCTCCCAAAGTGCTGGGATTTCAGGCATAAGCCACCACGCCTGGCCCATTTTGTTTAATTTTTTAATACATTTTAGCATTACTCTATTTGGATTTTGAAACCCAGTATCCCATAGCAATGAGTGGGTGTCCATTCAAACTAAATGGAGCTCTTTCCTCCACAATGTTTCTGGTTTTAAAATCAAGATTAGACAAGGGTAATAGCTCCTAAAAGATCTTATGGTTGTTCCAGGGAATCTCAAAGCACCCAACTGAGGAAACACAGCTGGTCAATGTCGTGGCTATTTGGTTTCATACAGAAAAAAGAAGGTGCGTTGAAATCATTCTCTTTGGAGCTTACTACCTTGATGTCCCTGTGGAGTTTTTACACCAATGACCACATGAGCTGCCCACCTCGTTACTGGGCTGCTCAATCCCAAACAATCTGAATTCAGTCAAAATGGTTGTTTGGGGCAGTTTAGCCAGGGGTGACCCCAGAAATGGCCCGAGGAAGCAGAATAAAAGGAAAAGAGAGCCCACTGCAGTGTTAGTGCCAGTGAACTGGACAAAGGCCTTTACCCACACCTGCATGAGCCCTGTGAGAAGGTCAGTGAAAAATCTGGCCAAGCAGGATCAGGATTTGGCCCCAAGACTCCCTGTTTTCTCTGGGGTACAGATGAAATGAATTTCACTAGCACATGGGCCCAAAGTCCAAACCCACTGCCCTGCAGAAAGAGCCAGGAGGCTCCCTGCTCCCTGCTCCCCGCTCACCGTTGTGGACGATCAGCCTGTACTGCCTGGCCAGGCACAGCTCCTCCTGCCGCTGCCTTACAATCTTTTGCGCTTCTGGGGGCAGGCCGTTGGGGTCCCGGGAAAACACGAAGGAGTAGCTGTCAGCACAGGTGCCATCGAGGTTCAGGAGGCGGCAGGAGTACTGCACGGCATACGTGTCGTAGTCCGTGTCGATGATCCAGTGGTCATCATCTGCAAGCCAGAAAGCCATCGTGCCAATCAAAGACTCTCCCTCATGGGCTCAGATGTCAGAGAAACCCACAACCAGGCCTGAGAACACAGTGACTTCCAGAAGCTGGTTTTATTTCCTTAGGAAGCAGGACACTTCAGAGAATTCTGACAGCTTTTACAAAATTCAGCAAATCAGAAAGGGCCTTGTTCTCCTTTATCGAAAAAAATCTTGCAGTCAGGGAAACCTCATTCACTTCAATAATCATCTCTCCCTGTGACTATGTCACTGTAAATGTGACAGCATCTTTCCCAAGAACCACCAAGAATGTGGGCTCATCAAAATCACAGAATAAACCGTCCTACTGTCGCTTCCCCATCTACTCTCCAATAATATCTCTGTGTCTTTTGTGCCTAATATCTGATGGCCACCAACTTATGTTACCCCCAATATTGGCTTATGTCTTTCTCAGTCTCTATCAGCTGGTTCCTAATCAACTCACTAACAGCGCTGCACCCTGCTCTCTCAGTCCTCTGGAGGATGCCACGCCCATGATCATGGCTTCTCTGGCTCCATCCTAATTCTGCTTATTAACGCTCCTCACTTCTTTGTGCTGGTAAAGAATAGGTTTGCCTTGAGGACACAAGAGGCCCACCATCTGGCATCAGATATTCCTTCTCAGACCTTGTCCTCTTCACAACTCACAGAGGCAGAGCTGAGCCACTGAGTTTATATGTATTCCTCAAGGCTGAAATGTAAGCCATGAAGAGTAGGAGTAAATGAAAGTGGTAAAAATATCAACGAAGGCAGGAGAGGAAAGAACGTTAATTAGAATGTATGCGTGGCCGGGCGCCGTGGCTCGTGCTTGTAATCCCAGCACTTTGGGAGGCTGAGGCAGGAGGGTAACTTGAGGCCAGGAGTTTGAGACCAACCTGGGCAACATAGTGACACCTGGTCTCTATGAAAAATGAAAATAATTAGCTGGGTGGGGTGGCATGTGTCTGTGGTCCCTGCTACTTGGGGGCTGAGGCGGGAGGATTG